TCGGGCGAGACTCATCTGTTCAGATGATACTTTTGACGAAGAGCTTCAAATTATCCACGATCTACTCAGTAGTAATGGATATCCAGAAACGTTCCTGGCTAAAAATATGAACACATCCAATATGAAAACCAGAATGCCTACAGTCTCCAAGAAACCATTGTTCTAAGACTACAATTTCGAGGTGACATCATCAGCGAAATTGTGACACAACGCTTAAGAAATGCCATAAGAAGATCATTTAATGCCGCCAAGTTATGTTGTGTTTTCTACAGCCGGCCGATGATGACCACACGAACTAAAGACAGACTCCCTGACTTCTCCTCTTCTATGTGCATTTACCAGTTCAACTGCTCCTGTGGAGCTAGTTACATTGGACGTACAGTTAGGCAAGTCCGTCGTCGAATCGCCGAGCATCATCCTTCATGGCTAAGTAAGGGGGAAACCAGACTGACACGAAGCTCAATACTCTCTCATCTGATTGACACCGGCCACCGAGTTAACATTCATAATGCCTTTAAAGTTATTTATCACATTCCTTCTCACCTCACCCATCCTCTACGAGTTCGTCTTTTACATACAGCAGAAGCCATAGGAATCCACCTACACAAGCCAAGTCTGTGTGTTCAGAAGAGATTCGTACAGCCTCTTTCTTTGCCTTGGCCATCTGTATAGCTCATTTATTGCAACAAGACTTCATTTCATCCACCACACAATAGCTCCATTACTATTCTTATTATTATTACAGACTTAACCATCTTTCTCCGCCCTACTGTCCCTAATTATCGTCAACAGTTTACCATTTTAAGTAAGAGTTCATTTTCGCTCTTTAGTTATCATTATACAAAATATCAATTATGTAAGGACCTGTTCACAGAATCTTTCTACGATAATTAATCTTTGCTTTAGTTAACTGTCTTAATTACCTGATCAATTATCACCTTCTTGATACTCTGAGATTGATAATCTTTCATTGAACAACTCTTACCATTAGATTGGTATGTAAATTTACGTTTGAAAATGCTATATTAGTGTAGAGCCATTGATGAGGAACTAATTGAAAAGAAATATTTTTTCGCTCATACAGTTTAAACAGACGAGACGGTATACAGTTTGCTGCCTTTTGGGAATTATTAATTGATAAACGGAATCAGTAACTCTAGTATTTACCTTCAACTTCAGTCTGAACTTTGATACATCTGCACCTGCAAAAATACACGAGGCTAATTTGATTCATTATTATTACTACTACTATTTTTATTTTTATTATTGTCGTTACTGCTATCATTCATCGCTCCTGCGATCCGAGAAATCAATGAAAAATTTGTTAATACTATTCAGCCTATATACCAACTGAAATGAAATACGTATCCACCTCATATATTCTTTTGTAATTATAAAATTACTGCATGACTATAATGTCACCTGTGACCTACTTCGTCTGATATTTACAGTCACAGAGAGTGTGAATGGCAACACACACACACGCTTGCACACAACAAGAGACATACAATTTCACATTAAATGATTAGTAATCAGATTTTAGAAAGATAATGACTACACGAAGAGGATGGGACAAGGGGATTCAGTACACGTCTTTGGATTCATTCGTATACATTTCATATTTTAATTTTGATTATTTCTCTGAAGAAACATGAACCAGACTTTCGTGCAATTTTTCTCATTTCAAACACGCTGTGGTACACAAATACAAACCATGTCTAATATGAACCTTTAACTCAGTACCCTAAATTTCCCATACTGTCCAGTCGAATCGTGATCATAGTTTATGTAAAATGACTGAGTTTGACGCTGATACTTTCCTGAAAGATAACATTTTCTTACATCGCTCATGGTTTGCTTCAGCTTCAATAAGGTGAATTTTACAAAATAACTACTGACACACCTTGGGAAAATACCATATAGTGCGACACTTCTAGGATCAGGATGACAGATTGTTCATGTAATCCTTAAAAGAAATGAATTAACAGTATTTTTGACAAATAGGATAAAAAGTGAAAGTATATTCCAGACAAGTTTCCAGTCAAAGGTCAAAATTGTTCAAAACTGTAGATCAGTAAAAAATCGATGTAGGAAAGAATATACTGAAAGAGGCTCGGCCACTGCTATGGCCAAAAAATATTGCCAGAAAAACCAAAGATCTAAGAGAAAAGTTTTCAATTTCTCAAAGGTGTCTGCAAAAGCTTCACCCTTTTGTTCACATGCTTCTGCAGTAGACAGAAAAGTGTACCAGACCTCTGCATGATACGGTTAACAGAGGTGATTTGCATGGATTGCTTGAATATTCAAAGAGACAGCCACACAAAATTATAAGCCTAATTCATAAATGCAAAGCAAATGTAGCTTTATCTAATTATTTTCGTGCCAAGTTTCCCGGATTCAGTATTTCGTTTTCTTCCATTCAACGATTAGAAAAAAGGCTCCATTTCTGTAGACTTCATTTAAATGACCTGAAAGCCTAACATCACATTCCAAATCTTGTAAACAGTCTTCTAGGGAGATCTAGAAGTCGTAGAATTATATGGGTTATTTGATTTTCGTTTTTTCTAAAATACTTCAACAAGAAAGCACGAGTATAATATGCTTAATATTATGTTATGTGATAGATTTAGAACCGAACACTTATTTCTACTTGTTACCAAAATCCATTCATCCAAAATCATTCACCAGGGGCTAACCACAAATAGAGGAATGAGTAATTTCTAACGTAATTTTGACTGTAACTTTGATCGAACTGGTTTAACTTTTTAAACCGGAAATAAGCCATTTTCCCATTATTTTGTTTGGCTTGAACATAGCTTAACATTGCAAATGATACATATTTACTCTTCATAATGTTGAAAAGGAATGAAGCTTTGTCTATTTTTTTGGTTAACCTTTAGGTAAATAGATCTGTTGAACACTGAAAAAAATTAAAACTATTTCCACTTTAATCTTAGGATGTCATGACAACACGAAATCTATCTATGAAACCCTTCAAACGACAATCTGACAGTAAACATGAGATCTACTTCGCTTTCCATACGAAAAAAGTGTCAGAACAAAATTCTGTCTGCGGGATAGATACTTTTCTTGAGTATCTTTAGATTGCAAAATGATGATTAGTAAAATGAAAGACTTTATTGGAAGTGAACGACATTTGCTCAGTATAATTTGAGGAGTGATGACAAAGAAATATGGTGTAAATATATATTTTCCTACTTCATCAGACAAGCAGTGTATACGTGTGTACGTTTTTTCTAGACCAGTCGTTGTTGTTCTATTTTAATCAAATAACCACAGATAAATACTCATTGAACGGATATGTAATAAGTGTGACGTTTAAGTACTCAAGGGTGTTTTTAGCTTTCTTCAGCAATATTAAGATATTATTTCACTAAGTAGACGAATATGCTGATAGGGTTGGAAACTATGTAGATCTGCATAATGGATGGAAATTTGTTCATTTTATTTACAGATTCATTGATCATATAACTGTACTAAAGCTGCAGCAGAATGGTACTTTCAATACACTCTGACTGTTAAGTTTACGCAAAGCATTATGTTTTTATGCACTCTTAGTTGTACATTAAACAGTAGCATACGCCAGGGGAAAACCTGGATAAATGTAGTCCTAAGACAAAGGACTCAGTGAATAAAATTTCTTTTTGCGATGGTATCATTTTCAGAAGTTTTTCAATCGTCTTTATAAATGAGTTGAAGTACATAATACCAGATTTGTTTGTGTGTTTCTATTTTACAATAAGTGGAACGATGAAGTACATTAGTATGATTGAGGATGATACTTCATTTTTACCATTGTGACTACTTATCTCATATGTATAGCAGACAAGGCAAACCATTTTTGTTACTTTTCGCCTGTAGATCTTCGAGTTTCTGTGACACTAGACACAAGTCATCGGCGAAATTCAAATCTTCTAGTGTCTTTTCATTGGTCCAGCCAGCGTGTGCCTATCTTCTCCCTCCTCATGGTTTGCTGCATGATCCATTCCAGTCGACCACAATCAGTAATATCATGGGTGATAGTAGACAGCCTTGTCTTACTCTAGTCTTCAACTAAGCTACCTAATAATTCTATCAGAAAATCCATTCTCGAGAAGAAATAAATAATATAAAGTTATTGTATTCGTAGTGTACCACATATCATGCTGTTGACGTGTTTGATGACAGACTAACTTTAAATATGAAATACGGTGATGCTAAACGACTAATGAAATAAGATTCCACGGTACTTAATAAACAAACAAACTATTCCTCACTATACCCCTTTGAGGCAGAGGTAAAAGTCACTTGGAAATCTTTCAGCTTTCGAAAGGTGACTTTTGAATAAGGGTAATTTATGCTTATTGGAATTTAACTTGACAGACATTTGAATTCAGTCTAATGTGAACAAGAAAGAATAAGCAAAGAAACTTTTAAGAAGTGAGAACTGAAGTGCAGATTTGACTCACAGCCACTATATTCAAATGCGCTCGCAACCTCCTCAGAGTTTTCTCAGCAAACAGCATTATTTATTGGTATCTCTTCATGCAGCAGTTTTGAAAATCCCATATGATGATTTAAAGTCGTGGTGTATTAATGTTTGAGCAGTAGAGCGGCTCTCTTTTTATTCAGTCAAACTATCATAGGAAAAATGTAACCACAGTTTTATGCTTCAAACAACGGTCCTAAAATGCAAACATGGACAGAGAAGAGTTTTCATTTTGTTTTCTTTTTATTGCAGTGAAAATAAACGTAACAGTGTTATTAACTATTACCTTACATTGTTCTTCCTCATCATGTGAACTGTCAACCTCAATTTTACTTTTCAGAGCTATAACTAAAGCGAGATATAATATCAGTCTTTTATTAGTCACTATTGTCCGTTTTCTGAGTACTTAATTAGCTTATTTCAAAGGAAATTATTTCGTCACCTATTTCCCTGATTATTTTTTATTAATATTAAATTTACTGGCATTTTGTTTTATTTTTTCTTTCTATAGGGTTATTTTCTAATAGAATCATCACTTATATATGAAGCCTACTCCGTTATGCCTATAGCTTTCAGCGCAAAAATTCAATATCAAACAATAGACATAATGAAGGACATAATTCATGTTTACTATCGATGTGGGAGTGAAACGATTTTTCAAAGAGCTGTAATTAAACTGATCAAACTAATTGCATTCTATATTCCTTCGATGAAGCAATATACAGAGAGAGCTGAAAAGGAGGTAAGAATGAATTTACTTCATATACAATCTTCATTTTTTGTTTCATTTATTTGAAAAGATTCTGTTGATTAACATCTATTCACTGATACAAGTGATAAATAAACTTGAAATATTTTTTGCTTATCAGCTGAAAATAAATGAACTGAAAAACCCCTCAACAATATTTTAACACCAGTGTTTACCAGTTTTGTTAAAAACTGTCCTCATACAACAGGTGATTGCGGCATCAATAACTGACTTTTAGTTCGAAGTACGTAGAACTCACCATGTCACTATTTATTGCACAGGAAACTAAGTAAGGAAAGGATTTGGGTAATTTGTTGTTGTATCAAGACAGTGAAGTTAGTTATCATTATAACTAAAAATTAAAGTTTTCTTATTAAATTATTTCTATTAAATCAGAAATAAATATAAAAATGCCAAACTCCCATTCATGGAGGTCATTTTTACTAGTTCAGTGAAGTTTACTCTGAGTAGGATGTAGCTTCCTTATTTTTTTTCAGTACTGAACTATGCGATTCCTTTGTAGCAGTAGACAGAAAACCTTTTACTTTGAAGAAATTACAGAATGATATCAGCCATTAAAAACTGCCACAAAATTGTAACCTTTAATGTCTGTAGGTTGGAGTTTTAAGTCTCTTAACTCCATTCAGAAAAACTAATTTGTATGACGAACTCAGTGGGTATGAAAGGCACAAATTTTCCTTCCTCTCAACTAGCAGATTTCTTTTACTGTTTCAATTGATGAATCGTCTGGTTTCTCGAGATCAAAAAGGTTTCTTGAACTAAGCACATCCTAAAGTATCATAGTTTTTATAAACAAAGCATTAAAGACAAAACAGTCAGCGCATCTTATCAAATGTGTAGCAGTTTGGTATCAAGTGTTAATCAAATTTTATTGATGATATTAACATGAGGTTCTCACATAACGTGGCTGAATGCTGCAATGTAACTGCATAGTTGAATACGCTTATTAGAGAATTTGAAACCTAGGCTATACATTTTTATCCGTAGCAAAAAATGTTTCTGGAATTTTCTGTCCTTCCATCTATACATTCACAAATGTGCAGTTAAGACAGGGAATTCATTAAAAGACAAAGATTTTTATCGCTCCAATAGTCTTCTGTCCTTTGTGATGTAATCGAATCCTGAGTAATGAACTGTCATATTCAAAGCTATGGCTACGGGTCATGGAACCCCCTACAGCTTCCGTTACATACAGGAGATATATTTTCATCTTTCTGTACGCGGCAATTCAGGCTATACGGCTAACAAAAGAAAGAATTTTAGAGTGATAAGCTAACAATAGAAATACAGTTTCCTGATCATATTCTCATTTTGACATTAAATAAACTTAATTTCAGTTTAACACAAAAGCGTGCTACATATTCATCTAACATCTGACAAGTAGATGGAAAATTGATACGCAATCCTTCCCCACAGATTTGATACTAAACGGTTATACTACTTTACATAACACTCCTTTCTAGAGATATTTTCAACGAAATCAGTAAATGAGTGCGAGCAGTCCTCATCTTGTTTTTGGTAATAAATTTCGTCAGCTAAAGTTATTACAGTGTAATTGAGTTGAAAACGTTGGTAAGGTAGTCAGTGAGACTTTACTGGCCGTGAGTAGATTCTGTAAACAACTGTGTTTTGATAACCTATATAACTGCTATGTCTCATTTTTTACAGACTGTTTACCTTAGTGACTGATTTAAAAATCTGATTTTCATGGTCGTATCACCTGACACTCTTTGTTTAGAGTGGTGGTAACATTCTCCATCTCTCCGGTATAGGTGTTGTGTTGTTCCCATTACATCTGTCGGGTTTTGACTTGGTGAACAAAGATTCAGTCATCAATCTCTCCCTCCACCTAACTATATGGGACTTAGATTCAGTGATTATATCCTATTCTACTACGAGGTTATGTGTTAATGCATTCAATTCTATAGTCCATCTATGTTAAGATTATTGGTCCTGTTTAGATCTATCATTCCATACTTGGCTAAGTTTCTATATTCCGCATATCTAACTGACCCCAGTCAGCTAGTTTGACCTTGTAGTCATTGGATGGGGTTAAGCAGATCAAAATATTTTTTTAATGCGGTATATCAAATGCCTAAGCCTATCCAGCTTATCTCTGACTAAGTTTGTAGGTTTGAGTGCCACCGCAGTTCGAGCCTTTTTTAGAGTTCTACGTAGTGTTTCTCATGATTCCTCTCCACTCGATAACAAAATATAAGCCTCTATTACGATACAGTAAGCAATTATTACTAGCTTGTATGCAAAAGATGATGTCTTCATCGAAATCAGTATTCCACTAAGAAATCGGTGCAGCTGGAAGTTTTGCATGAATATTGGTTGCAAACCTTTCTTCTTCTGGTTCAGCTCTAACCACCTTCGATTGGCCTGAAGTATAATTATAGGTATCGAACTGATTTGGTTTACTGATGTCATTCCTATCTTCTTTATTAGTTATTGTTGAATTTTAGTACTGACTGGTATTTCTTAAACTTAGAAATAATTAAATATTTCTGAATAGTAACTTTCCTGCAAAAGATACCAAACTGTCAGACTCTTATTTAGGACGAATGTACTTATGAAGTCGGTTAGGACATTTCTTTTTTTCTCTTAAGTCTGACTCAGTGAAAACCTGTTACCATTTCCCTTCAAATGTTCACAGGGAAGAAATAGGGAGTTTTTCAGTCAAAATGCCACACTATCTAAAATAAAAAGCAGAACAAACTAACCGCAAAAGAATTCGAATTCTTTTCAAGTCTATGGATTCGTTATTAAAATCACTAGCTCAAACCCTTAAGTTTAATCGTGAAGGGAAAGGGTGATTTAGCATTCTCAGAGCTTTGATATTTTGTCGAGGATATTTCACCATCATTTTCTATGAATTCTCCAGCACTAACTAGTTTGCGTATCTTACAGGGTTGTCAAAGTCGAAATCCTTAGGGTATAGAAAAAGTTTGACGGGAAAAATATTTACTTCTGAACTGAAATGAGATGTGATTTTGCAATATCCCAAGCCAACATTAATAGGAAATCGAAGAAGTTGTATTTCTTAAAGGACACTTTCCCTACCTAATAGTAGACAGAAGGAGATTTATCACACTCCTGTTTACAGAATAAAACGTTTATTAAAACCAAAAAATGTGACCGAAGAAATACTTCATTCGGAGTTTACGTAAGGCTTCTCTATGTTTTCTTGTCAAGGTGCCGCTAGCATTCTGCTTACCATTCATATATTTGTAGCAACAGTCAATCAGAACAGACTTGAGTCTTTCCACCTCCCTACTTGAAGAAGGTGGTAAGTCTTCTGTCTGTAAGTACCGGTTTTCACACTAAACCTGTGTCTCTTCTATTAGGTACAATATGACTATCAAAAACTTATGACCCAGAAATAATGCTTGCGGTACTACCATATCAAGACCAACATTGGAAAGATTATCGACATACCGACCAAGATTTGGAGGAAATCTCATTTCTGGAGTTCGCTTCTCCAAACTCTGAATGATAAGAATCTGTTTTTTCTTCTTTCTATGACTGACAACTTGATTTACATATTCTAAGAATGCTTGTTTCAGGTGGCACGGGAGATCTTCAACATCATGGAATCTTTCTAAAAAGTTTTTCAACAACTCTGTTGCGCATGATTTCGGAGAACCAATCTGGTTATGAGCATGTCATTTAAGTGTCCTTCCGTTTGGTTGAACTCTGTTACAAAGTAGAGATTTTCAGTAGGCTTTAGAATAGCGTTTGGTTTGAATACACTTATCGATAAAACCCGTCGAGGTCTTCGCCTCAATAAGCTTTGCGGTGTAATTTACACACTCATTGGGGATCTTTAACGCAATTCGATGCCCAAAAGGTTTCAGTAATCCAAAAAAATTTTATATTAATGCAAAGATTATTATTTAAACATTTAGTAAAAACAAACAATGTGAGCAAAGAAATATTTCTTTTTAGTTAGTTCCTCATCATTGACTCTACATTAATATATAGTATTTTCAAAAAGTAAATTACATACCAGTCTAGTGGTGATAATTGTTTAATGACAGGTTATCAATCTCAAAGTACCAGGAAAGTGATAATTGATCAGATAATTAAGACTAACTAAGCATAGATTAATTATAGTAGAAAGATTTTGTGAAATTCCAAACAGGTTGCTACACAATTGATACTATTTATAATAGTAGCTAACACGAAAAAAGCGGAAATGATTTGCTACGTCAAGAGGTAAGTTGTTGTCGAGAGTCAGTGGCAGCAGAGGGAGAACAAGATGCCTAAAACCATGATTATAGTAATAATACTAATAGAGGCATTAAAGGCCGAGTTATAATCATTTGTGTGAAAAATGAAAAGACGAGTCTTGTTGTAATAGATAATCTATGCAGATGGTCATGGCAAAGAAAGATGCTATAAGAATTTCTTCTGAACACACAGATGACTTGTTTGGATGGATTCCTGTGTTTTTTGCTGCATGCTACAAACAGACTAGTAGAGCACAGGTGAGACTAAAAGGAACATGATAAATAACCCTAAAGGCATTATGATTATTAACTCGGTGACCAGTGTCATTCAGAAGCAAGAGTACTGAGCTTCGCTTCAATCTGGTTTTTCCTTTAGTCATGCAATAATGTCAAGCCATTGATAAGGAACTAATTGAAAAGAAATATTTCTTCACTTATATTATCTGTTTTCAGTAAATATTTAAATGGTAATTTTTCATTACTATAACATTTATGACGAACATTAAAGCTATTTGGGACTTCAAGTTCAAGACTGATTTTTCTGGTTCAGATATTTTTATTCAAACATACAACAGAGCGATGAATCACCATTAGTTTAAGCAAAATGTAAGTATGCTGGCTTACAGATGGACCGGAGTAAGATTAAATTTGCATAGAAACCACCGAAAAAAACACTTTATACTGATGAAAATTTTGGAACTAAATAAATAAACAGATTTTCATCGAAAAAATACATTCCTACAGTTTTGGAAGATTTATTTTCCAAGTTTACTTTAACAGAAATTAATATTTAGAACTAATAATTTTATTCCTATTGGATTTCTTCTTCGGTAGAAAGGTAAACTATCTATGAAGCCTTGTTTTCCTTACTTTCATATATCGTCATCAGAATAAACCAGATATTTAAAAGTTAGCACGTCAAGTTCTTGTAATCGTTGAAATCACAAAGATGAAACAGTTCTTTAACAATTGAAAGGTAAACAACACCTGATAACGACATCATTTGGTCCCCAAACAAATGGTGCTAAATTTAATGATGCATCAAAAATCTTTTTTTTTTATGCAAACATCCCTTTAACTGTGTGCGGAATTCTCACACTTTTCAGCAACACTTTAATCTAGATTTTTCGAACCAAGTAATATTGAAAATATATTTAGCATATAAGCAATAATGATCTTATAAATAGATTTGAAAAGACCTGATACACGTGAAGTCATTGCAATATTCATTTTGCATTTAGTCGACAAATCCATATGGTCACTTTCTTCTTAATCATTACAGATATATTGCACAATCCGATCATGCAAAATGAAAACAGTGAACATAAAAATGTATTATATGAGTAATGCAACCATATTTTTGAATCTTATGGAAGAGTGATGATGATGCATTCAGTTGACGTGACATAAGCTAAAGGAGGAAGCTATAAAAGGTTTTACTAAACTACAGAAATCATACGGTGAAATGATTAGCACAGATAAATTCGAGGAAATTATGATATTCAGGTTGAAAACTGTTATAAAGAGGCGCGAATAGCATGATGATCTAATGACTGGCGTTATGGCTGACATATGAAAAAGTCAAGGGGAAAATTTTTTAAAGTAGTAGCCGCATTTCAACAGCCAAGACGGTATCAACGCCTACATCGTAAATCTTACTTATCATGAGCAGCGTCCACCAAGTTTATTCAGAATATATTTGTAACGACTATTTATAATAAGTTGGCTGTATCCACAGTGAACAAATTATTCATAGATACAATTCACTGTAACGTTTTTGCATAAATGCTCCTGAATGGTTGGTGAGATAATTTCATGTTTTTCTAGTCGAGTTATGCGAATTTATTAGATGATATTGAAATGAGAACCTAATTTAACAGAGGAAAGATTGCTGATGTAGTATTAAACAGCCTAGCTAAGCTAGAGTGAAACTGATTCAAATGTAAAACCCTAATGATTATTTTGAATTGTATTAACACTTAAGTGGAGGTGACTTATATTTCAGTGATCAAAACTAACCTGTGACACTTCGTATATTCGTAAATATTTCCCACAGTTTATTGATCAGATTAACTATGCAACCAGCTAATCCAACGACTGTCAATACCACACTATATATTTATTTGACCTTTCGCTTAATAACCCAAAGTCAAGAACTGCTAAAATTAACAAGGAATAATGTACAGCAAAACATGTATTTCAAAGCAGTTTTCATTACAGATTTAAGCCAGATAGAAAAAACACGGAAACCTGATTGACTGAATGACTAAATCAACGTAGAAACCGGCACATAGGTGCATCAGCTCAAGTTTCCACACTTCACAGTAGTACACAAAGAACAGATAGATAGAGAAAGAATGAAATCAAAATGAACAAGGTTATGTAAGAGGATAAAAAATTTTGAGATAATGGTTAGTACAAATATTCAAGCTTTTGAAAATGTCAGAGAGTGAATACCTCTGGGTCAGCGTGACCGATTACAAGCCGTATCGCCAGCAGTCCTCAATCCATGATTCCTATTCTCTAAGATAGTCTACATCTCCCCACACCACGTAAGTCAACTGTGAGTGACTTTGACGATTGGTGTCGGGTTTTGGTCTTGTCACCCTGAATCCTCTTCCAAAATAATTCAAATTTCTTGGCATGGCACCTCGAAGTAGGAAGTGGTTCGGTATACACAGTACATGAATAAGAGACATGTGTTCGTTTTTTACTTTGAGACTATTAAGGAGTACCGTGAAGCTCGGGTTCAGGACCGTCATATCTGACGGTGAGTCTCCATTCGTATCAAAGCGTTATGACTATTAATTGTTATCAATAGGCATCTGTCTTGTAGCTTTATAGTGTGTAAAACTTCTTTCTACAACAACTATTGATCTTGGTCACTTGAAGTTGTTGCAAATTTTCACGGTCTAGATAAAATTGCTATGAATCTAAAAATGAAAATGTTAATGAATCTAAATACTTACATAGGATATAGTGAAAAATGGCCAGTGTGATATTCCAGAATTCATGTTTTTTAACCAATCTCCAAAGCATACCACAAGCTACTTACATGATGCCGAATGCTATTATTTTTGCAATGCATACATTAATTTGCTACCCATTTGGGATCTTTACATACCTTATTTACGAAAGCTGTTTATCACCATAACAAATAGCCAAAACTAACCATGAAAAATCTGGAAGAGGTTTTAGAAATTCGGTATACCGGAGGTATCACTTTAGTTCCGTTAATCTTATTACCGTTTTTTGGACCGAAATTCAGTCGGTAAAAAATATGTTTTCAATAATATTCAACTAAGAAATCCTTCCCATGGAAAACTGTTCAGTTTACAAAACTTCGAATTACAGTCCATTTAAATTCAGTGAATCCGATTTTAACTTTAGTTGTAACATACACTATATGATTAGTAAGAAAAATGTCCGCGTAAAAACGAAGAAACGAATATGTAATGCAATCGTCAAAATTGGGCAGTATAGTAGAGTATAATCGCATATTAGGTTATTCATTTGACACAACGTGCAGTAATGGACTTTGTATGCATTATCAGGATAAAAATAACCTATTATCTTGTAATTGGTTAGGTCTTTTGCTTCTTTTGAAGATATTTTCTTCGTAGCATTTGTTTAAAGGGAATATTTTAGCAACGTCAACTAAGATGGGTAATTCCCCCTCCAGAATTAGAGCTTAGTCTGTAAAGTTTATTCACACATTTTGTTGACATAGTCATATGATTTTATTGATTATGACTCCTTAACTAAACTCCTAGTTAGTAAATGCCCTAAACGAGGTTGAAATTGCTTTCCCTTTTCTGCCTTGTGCTACTTACCTACATCAGCGTCTTGCAGCTATTCAGTAAATTTAGATATCAAGAGACTAGAGTTATAAGCGCATTCATTTTACGAGCCAACTAAACCCAGTTGTTTTTTCATAATAATACGATCTGGTAGTGGATCTACTTTGCTAATGGCTGCCAACAAACTGAAAACTAAGATCGTTAGCCTTCTGACGACTGGTCTCTAACATCTCTAACATAACATCTCCAATATGATCTAGTGAGTCACCGCATCACACTAAGAAGCTTAGTGGTCACTTTACAAACGTGATCAACAGACCGCGATCAGCGTCGATACTTACGGAATAGACAGCTACATCTGTCACTCACTGGTCACGAATTCCTGTTAGAGTACAACTTGTCGGGTTTTTATCATTGAGTAAGGGCATGTGGTGAAGTGATCTTTCAACCCATTTCATTTTCAACCTTTACCACCTCATAAAGGCGTTACACTTAAGAAGTGAATACAACAATTACTCTAAACTGGAACGATATTTTCCAGTGCATCCTCAAGGAAAAATAAACAATCGTCAAAAGATTTCAAAACATTTTATTGAAATCAAAGCAGTAATAATCTACATATGTGAACCATACATTATTCAACGAATCAAATGGGCTAAATTCACATGTAGCTCAATTTTAAGTGCTGAAACTTGAATTTAAATTATTCCGTTAACTTAGTGATTAATAACCTCGCCTGGTTAACTAGTTTACTAGTTACTAGCCGGTCCTAAGCCCGGGTAAAGAGGGAAGGTTGGGCATAGGGCTAGCAACCCTACCCCGTAAAACAAATCTAACCGCTAAAGAAACTTCAAAGCACAAACAAAATATAAAAAATGAAAACAAACTTATTCCCCGCTGGAATCGGAGAGGCGAAATGACGCCAGTTGGTGAAAGCCTTCGGGAAGCCAATTGGCCGATGTGTCTTCTCTCGATGAAAGCGAAAGTAAACGTGGGGACATGGAATGTCCGCACGATGTTTGAACCCAGTAAGGCAGCCCAGATTGCAAAGGAGATGAGAAGGTATAACATCGAAGTGCTTGGGATTTGCGAAAGCAGATGGAATGGGAGTGGACTCTCCAAACTGTCAACGGGAGAATCAATAATCTACTCCGGTCACCCAGACGCCAACCACGAGCACACTGAGGGAGTGGCTATCATGATGTCCTCAAGAGCATCGAAGGCTCTCATGCAGTGGGAACCAATCTCCTCCAGGATCATGTCAGCAAGATTCAACTCAAAAGGAAGAAAGGTCACAATCATACAATGTTATGCACCTACAAATAATGCAGAGCAAGAGAAAAAGGAGGAATTCTACAGACAACTTCAGTCAACACTGGACAAGACGTCAGTTGGCGATATCAAAATTCTAATGGGCGACATGAATGCCAAACTGGGAGGGGACAACACGGGAAGAGAACTAACCATGGGTCGAGAGGCGCTAGGTGAAATGAATGAGAATGGAGAATTGTTTGCAGAATTCTGTGCATTCAACGATTTGGTGATTGGAGGCAGTGTGTTCAGGCACAAGGATATCCACAAAGCGACATGGATTTCACCAGATGGACACACTAAAAACCAAATCGACTTTATCTCAATCTCAAGAAAATGGAGACGCAGTCTACTTAACACAAGGTCAAGAAGAGGAGCAGATGTAGGTTCAGACCACTATCTAGTGCAAGGAACCTTCGAAATCAAGTTAAAAGCCTTCAAGGAAGCTGGTGATAGACCTCAATTCAAGTAC